CAGGAACGGATCGTCGACAATGCCAGTCCATCGCCTCATCGCACAATTCATCTTTGCAAAAAGTGCCTGTTCCTGTTGTGCACATCAAGCATCGAATCGGTGGAGTAAGAAGAACGAAGCTCACGTGTAAAACACCCCCCGCGAGCAGTATACTAGGTGGCTGATTAACCCCGCGCGCTTGAGTAGTTATGCTGTACCGCACGCACGAGTGCGGGCGGCCTTGCCTATCGCCCCTGTCCACGGCGCTGAACGAGCCGGGGCAGTGGGCAACCCGCCCGCACTCGTGCGTGCGGTACAGCATAACTACTCAAGCGCGCGGGGTTAATCAGCCACCTGGTATCATATAAAAGTGTTATTTCTATAAACGCGCGCTCGCCGACGAGGTGAGATGGTGGTCTTTACCATATCGCATCGAGTGAACGCACTGTTAGAAAAAACCTACAGGAAATGTCTACGGTGCGCCCTGTCAATTTGTCATAAGGTCAGCGACTATAGTTTTTGATTACGGTTCACTCCGTACAGGATGTACCGTAACTTTGCAAGCCGTCTTTCTCGTCAGTACAGCACTTGACTTAGACACTGAAGTACGGCCCATATCTTTACGGTCTGGCCGGTACATAACATATAGACAGGACGGATCGTAGGTCAACCGTACTTCCTTGCAGCATTTTTAACAGTAGCACCGACGGAGAAAGGTAGAGAAAGAAGGAAAGGGAAGGGGGGCAGAGGATGGGGAATGACCTAGGAACTACATCGGGAACACATTGAGCGTTCTCAGGGGCGCACCCTTCCGGGATGAAGTAAGAGGGGCTTCAGATATCTTCAGTGTTGTACCATGTGGCAACAATATGGACTCAGGTGGACGCAGAATCAGTAAAACGAGCTGAAATCAGAAACTTTCTGGTGCGAAAGTGCCTCTAATTTTTCGGGACAAGGCCTCTAAACAACCAAAAAACGCTTAAAATCGTATAGAATCGTGCTAGATGTTCCTCGGAATGATCATTGGGCACAAAGCAGCCATTAGAGCGACGAAGACTGACAGACAAACCAGCCGATCCTCCTCAGAGCAAAGCCAGCCGGCGGCGACAGCAAGGGGTAGTCGCAGTCTCACTCGTTTTACGCAGGGGGCCGCCGCTGGTGACCTGTGCAACCAGCAGCTAGCTCGAGTTTCAGACCCCTGTTCTAAGGTATCGTCCAATAAGTAAGTGCGCCTGTTATGCTTGAATTCATTCAGCGCATTATGAGAGCTCAGCGCCTGCGAGACTGTGGGTAGGCCACCCCGCGGTGCACGTATGTGTTCCTGGCAAGATGTTGCCTACCCATCAGGCGCCCCGAGAGCCTGGACTGGCTGCATTTGGTAGTATATGAACTGCGAATGACGGGCGTACTTTCTGAATGATCCCTATAGGTAACCAATCGCAACACCTGGGGTACACAGTGGTGCGACTCCAGAGCATCTCTCCGGTGACAGGTCTTCGCTCTGGTCTCCCCCCGAGTCGGCGGGTCGCCTGTGAGAATGGCAGATGGCGGCCGCACCACACCACTGCTTCAGATCACACAAACCAATACTGCAATGAGCCGCAGCAAACGTGGAACAGTCTGCACGCAGAACTTGCATTAAGTGTAAGGACCCCTGCTGAAGAAGGGCACGCGCCCGGAACGTAAGCCACCCATTCTACGCCACCCAAATGATAGCTTATAGCAGATCAATGTTGCGTCACTCAAAAGGAGTACAGGTATAAAGGAAGAAAATAGACAGATTTAAATTGATTTTATGTTTACTCAATTAGAAATACTAAAAACAATAGATATGAAAACAGTCAAAGTTAGATAAGTAGCAAGAAAGGTTATTTTATTTACATTGAGAATAAAATTACAGATCAGTAGTGAACATTCCATGAACGCAAAGACATTATTTTAAATTTTAAATTGACGTATAAATCTTCGTTCTTGAAAAAGTAAAGGTCCTGTAGTTGGGAGTGGTGTTGAATCTGTTAATAAAACGGGAAAGAAAAAATTAGCAAGTTGTTTGTATTTTCTCCAAAATATGAGTATTAAGATACAAAAACAGATAATGGTAATGTTGTACCTTAGACATGAAACAGCGTTGAGATGCAGCCATTTGTCGTGTGGAAGTGAATGGTCCCAGTAGAGTATCAACAAGCCGCAACACACAACAGGCAGAGCAATTCTCCAAACTGACCGTCCTGCAAGCTGAATAAAGTGCAACACATTAGTAACAAAATTGATTTTACATACACTACTTTAATAAACACCTCCTATAGTTGTGGATAGTTTGAGAGTGCACAGTAGAGACCAAAGTGCAAATAAAACCTTTTACAAGTTTTTACTTGCAGAATAATTGAAGTCGACTGGCTTATTTAAAAGAGGTATGCCAAACAGGAGTATGAATCAAGGAATTTTTGGGGAAGATCAAGAGGAAAAGAGGGGGGTTAGGGGGCAGTACAGAGATCATGTCACAAACACACACAAATTAAACAAACCAAACCACAAAAAATCCACAAGACAGAGAGACAAAAATGCCTGTTCAAAATTCAAAGGGATAACATAAAATTCAATAAAACATTGCAATAAAAATGTCAGATTCACTTAGTAAGCAGCATAAGGACATACCAGAATACAAAAGGCACATAAACACAAGAGAAATTCACACATATAAAAGTACAGGGACAACTTGCAGCACAACCATGAGCAATCAAACACTTTTAAGAAACAAGGTAGCAGAACAGAGGGCAAAACACAGCACACGAGAGATATATACAAGTAGTATAGCTCATACAAAATGCAGCAGAACCATGAGCAATCACACACTTTCAAGAAACAAGGTTGAACAACAGCACAGGAAGATTGCAAAATAATGGACAGAACATGACAAAGACACATTCAAAAGAACATCCTCAAACATTGACATAATAATGGGCACTTCAAATTCAGTATTCAGAAAAGGAATGGTAGTAAGGGAATTCACTTGTCATCAGAGTTCAAGGCAGAGAAAGGGCAGGGAGGTGGCTGGGGTGAGATGCATGTTTCTTTTAGCGATTATGGGGAAGAATTAGTGCCAGTTCGTATGACAGCATGTTTATATAATTTTTAGCACCCTAAAGATTGAAGTTATTTAAATAAAATTGAAGGAAGCTTGACACCATTTGGACTCGTGTGTGCAAACTCAAACTACCCTTTTCTTTTGCTGAAATTGTTACTATAGGTGGTGGTAGAGGAATGTCTAAAACTTGACAATGAGTAAAAAGAAAATAGAAGGGTACTTAGCTTTGGCACACCACGCTCACAACAGAGGGAGACAACAAGCGTAACTGAGTGGGTAGATCCGCCAAATTGACACTTTGCTTGGTTGGCTGCCTGTAAAGAAAACGGTTCAGTTAGTTGTTTAAATCTTGAGGTGCTTATTCAAGAGATATAAACAGAAACTTACGTCATACCGAAAAAGAGGATGAAGGAGTTCCTTAAACGGCTTTCAGAGAGAAATTAAAGAGAGAAAGCTGTGCGCATTGTTCACAGGAAGACATCAATTTCAGCAAAGCACAGGAAGTTCTCTCTCAAACGAAAAGGAAAAAATGTGCGACACAACTTCGAGTCCTGAAAAGGTAAAGAGAAAGTAAAACTTACAATCGTAACTCTCAGAATGCATAGTTTAGGTCAAAATAAAACAGAGCAATACGTGCCAGCAGTGTGGGTGTTTCGTTGAAATCCATCTCCCTCATCGAGTAAATGCCCTAGTCATCGAGCAAAGAAGTGCGACCTCTGCGGCAGAACCATTTTGAAATGTCAATCATGCCGTGGTAATTGAGCCTGAAGGATTGACATAAGTATTAGTTTGTACTCTAATAAAAATCAAATCAAAAGTCTGAACATAAATCTAATAATACTTACGGTTGTTCATGGTAATTAGATACAAATAATCATCAATGAAAGACCAATGCCATGACAAGTGTATGGAATCCAAATCAAACCTACAATGGAAAAGAAAAACAGCAATCAGTTTCAAAGACACTGCTAAAGTTTAGAATATCAGAGCACTTGATATGCAAATGTACTTACCAGAGGGGAAATTAATATACAGGTGATTAGCGGAGCAGATGTCACAAGCTTGTTCTAGAAAAGCAAACGGCTAAGAATGTTTGGTGGAAAATATAGAAGAAAGTTGCAAACCTGGAAATGAAATCAAAATGTTAATTGAACCATTGATATTAAATAGTGCTAGTACCTTGCTGAAACAATACCTACCATGGGGGAATATCAGAGAATCCCTAGCTCTATATATGCTGATTGGTCCATTAGAATGACTTTAAAGAAAATCTTGACTGCATTGTCATGGTGGTGAAAATTAATTGGAGCTGCACCTGGAATACATAACAACAAAATAGTTATGGAAATGGCAGTCACAATTAGAAATTTTTCTTCACTGAAAATACGTACCTCTGAAGTTTATCTAAGTCATGAATACTGGCAGCACCCAGTACAATATGCAATAGCATCTTTGAGTGATAAAGTATGAGAATGAAAAGGCTTTGAAACCAAATCCCCAGAAAGAATTAAAGAAAGATGGAGAACAGGACAGTAAACCCAAAGTAGGTAGATACTGCCATTTAAATGATATGAGATAGAGATTAAGACAAATAAGACAGAAAATATTGCATGGAGAACACAGCACAGTGTCAAGAAAATTTCAATCCAAACAGTAAAGCATCAACATGAAAACAGTCATTCAAAATAAACAAATGCAGAACACTAAAGGACAAAAAAAAGCACAGCAAGCAGAGCGGTAACATATATATAGGAGCAATCAGTAAATGGCAAGGGCAAGGCACAGGGTTTATCGACAAAACTCAAATGTTCAACAAAAAATAAGCAGTGGCAAGAGCAGAGAGTACCAAATCAAACACAAAACACTTTCAGAGGCAGGGCAGATAAATTCAGAGCATTTTCAAGACAAGTTCATCAACAACAAGTAAGCACTTCAAGATTTCAGTCAGTGGCAAGAGCAGAGAGTACAAAATAAAACACTTTCAAAAGAGAGGGCAGAAATTCAGAGCACTTCGAGTCCAGCAATAAACAAACAAGAACAGAACAGCAAATCAGTGGCAAGAGCAGAGAGTACGAAATCAATGCAAAACACTTTCAAAAGAGATGGCAGAAATTCACAGCACTTTCATGACAAGTCCAGCAATAAACAAGCAAGAACAGAATAGCAATAAGAACAGGCAAACCACACACACCAGAACGAGCACTCATCGACAGAAAGAAAACAAAATGCATTTTCAAAGACCAAAAACAATTCAGACACTTGAAACAGTAAATAACACATCAAGAACATTGTTGACAAGTTGCAGACACATGGCACAGAAGAATAAAAGAAAGATGGAGAGAACAAAGAATGAAATTAAAAGTGCCCCATAAATACTGATAAAATTAATTTCCCCGCCTTTCCAAACTCATTCTCAAACCTCAGATTGCCAAAGACATAGGTCGCATTGACCATGACGATAAGTACTACTTCATGAAAAGCACAAAGACTTTCATCTGACCAGGTCAGCGAATTGAGTTTTAAACAGCTCCAGATTACGTAATTCATTAGCTACTTAAGTGGGACGTCACTGCCTGTCAACAAAATAAGATTGTTAGCCTTCACAATAAAAAATATAAGAAAATAATGTAATGAAATCCACATATGGCAACTGACCTTTTCACTTTTAACCCTCCAATTAATTCTCTGTGCCAATTCGCAAACACCATTCACCACCAAAAGCAGCATGAATGCTTGGAGAAAGATTCACACGACAGCCATCACCTGTTGAAAGAGGAAATGTTAGAAAATATTCTGAATACTAATAGTAAATTGTACTTTGACACCCTTCAGCCAAGGTAACATCGTAGATTTGAACGTGTGAAACATTTAATCAATGAAGTGCGTCATAACCTCTGCTGGACCGGAGCAATAACGACAATTTGTGATCTGATCATTCATTTTCATCAGAGACAAACGCTCAATACAAAAATGGGTAACTGCAGATGTTGTAGACGATACCAGTTCAAGGGCAAGCGAGAATATGCTCAAAAATGTGGGGAAACACAAACCTGTTGCCTTTCGTAACGACAGCTGGATCACACCCAGGCGAGTCGCAAATGTAACAAAACAAATTCGGACTCGACTCAAAGAGAGACGACCTCCTTCGATTTTCAACTCAAAATGAGAAGCACATCTATCATTCATAATAATGACAAAACGTTAAAGCGGAGGAACACTTCAAAGACTTTCGTCAACACACGAATAAAAAACGCTGACGCACGACCCACCCCCCACTGCCACTGCCTTCCAAAGCTGATCCGTTTCCGTTGGAATCGCGAGGAGGGGAGAAGGGGCGGGGGGGCAAAGCGAAAATTGCTGCCAACCTTGAAATATATCGAAAACTTCGTTTGAATCTAGATCTAATCAAAGCAAAGGCGGCTGGACAAAGAAAACAATAAGATAAAAATATAACGAAAGTGTATTTAAAATATTTCGTTATGTTTTGAAGTTGATATTTTCTTTTTAAACAACGTTTAATTTTAGTATGCTGAGGTTGGTTTTGCAGGAGCAGAAGCCAGAGTTCAGCAAAACAACAAACATGGCACCTCTTCTGTACGATGCACCCAGATATTTACGTTCTCATTTCCTTGAACTGACTATTAAGTGACCGTAAATATTTTTTTCACGTTTGCCATGTTACTGCGGTTTTCCCAAATTATGGCTCTTCTCTTGGTAAGTCTCCTACGCTCTGCCTGCTCTGGCAATGCTAGCCGACAGCTCTTTCCTAATTCCTAAATTTTCTGTCAGTTTTCAATTTCTTGCACAGGTGGCAATGCCAGTGTTACGGAAATTTAGAACCCTCGGTAATTTCAACCCACAGGACCCTTCTCGACGGATGAACCCTCCTGAAGCAGTAGTCTATACATCCGTTTGTCTAACCAGAACGAGGGTTATGATGCCCATTGTCAGTTACTTACCTGCCTCAAGGTAGCCATCATGAAAAGGGGTAAATTTTCTACAGCAAGCTGGAATCAAAAACCCTCTTCTCTCAATTTCACTCTGTAAGTAATATGTCGCAACTCTGTTTCACCAAAGGTTTACTTGCCAAACCACCTCCCAATGCTCCCCATTAATTCTAGGGTATCGTTGTGTGTCGTTGTGCTTGGATCTTGTCCTTCTGTATAAAATCACCAGTCCACCCATGGAGGTTAACTTTATGATGGGTTGATCTTCATGGCCTTTTGCTCAATAAGACCGTCTCTGTTACAGGCACACTGCCCCTTTACTGTCAAAGCTGTTTGGGCAATTCTTTTGGAAACCCTTGGCTATATGTGTCTGCACTAGCACTGATTGAGTTCTTATGTTGGTCTGGAGATATCTGGCACGGTAAGTATTTGATAGATACAAATTTGTTTTTTACATCTTCGTGTCTCAGCTGCAGCATAGCCTATCTTACAGTTCTGTAGCTTTTGTTGTTCTTTTCTGTCTGCAGAAATGCAACCAAACCCAAGAACTCTCCATGCCCATGGAATGTTGCTCCTCACCCATTCTCAAGAACATTCAATAAATTTTTACAGCGGTAAAATTCAATGTGTGGTTTTCAATGTTACTGCCGCTGGTCAAGTTATACATTTGATGTACTTTTTAATATGGTATTTTTTTCTCTCTCTGTTGTGATTTACTTTGATTGGTTTCTTTTCTCATCAAAATCTTGGGCATCCTTAAAATTCCCTCTAAAAACTCCATTAAATAATTTGGTTTTAAGAAATAGTCATTTTTGCCTCATGATTTACCTACTTGCATTATATGCATTGTATCCCAAGGAGGCCCTGTATTGGGGCTGTTTCATTCCCAACTTATGCGTCCCTGGTTGTTTTTCATAACAACAACAACAACTTGGAAAACAGATGGTGTTTTTGAGACGTATTAATTCTCTAGGGGGAAATTAAATGCCCTGTTTTACACTGTAATGCAGAGGGTTGACTTGAATTTAAAAGAAATTTCAAGTGGATTTGTATCATTAATCAGTTTTATCACTTTTCTCAGGGTGTTTTAATTTTTTATAGACACATCCTAAACTATGAATACTTTGTGGAAAATTTCTTGTTTTACCTCGTACGGATTGAAATACAGTAGAGGGAGAGAGCTGCACTGGCCCCTGGCTTTCCCTAATTTCTCAGACGTTATCATTGGGGTGTGCTTTTGAGTGCTTACTGGAAGAATCTATTTAAAAGTTCGCGCCCTAGTTACGTCTCCACCTTCCTGCCCCCTCCACTTGGACAGCACGCACTATCTTTTGTTTCCCGCTCGTTTCTTCATTTCCGGCCTTTGTTCTGACCCGACTTATTGGAAGAGACAAAGAATAAAGCGGATTCCTTCAGAGTATTCTTTGGTTGTCGTTAATCGTGTTGGAAAATGAGTAGTTTTAACCATATGCCTTATGTAAGTATATTTCAAGAGGCTTTCTCTTAAATTTGGTTATATTTTGAAACATTTTTCACAGTTTTATTTTTCTTTTAAACTTTCTTTTCATTGAAACTGCATCTGCCTTGAATGAATAGTAGAATCATAATTGCCATTTTTGCCCCTTACTCTCTCTGAAAGGGCAGAGTGCAAACTTTTTTCTTGTTTTTTATCCCAGTAGGTCCCCCTTATTCCCTGTTCCAACCTGTTCACCTGAAACTATCTCTTGGGAAACTGTTTAGGAATAATTTCAAGAGTCTTACTGTGTGTGTATTTAATTTTGCTTATCTCTTTAACTGATAGTTACATGTTCCACCGCCTTTGGTGCGACCAGCTATGGGGTCTTTGGAAGCACCTCCAATTCCACCGCCTATGGTGCGACCAGCTATGGGGTCTTTGGAAGCACCTCCAATTCCACCGCCTATGGTGCGACCAGCTATGGGGTCTTTGGAAGCACCTCCAATTGTGCCTTCTCATTTACAAGGAAATGTCTACAGTATTGAGCAGCAGCAGGACAATTATCTGTACAACATGATGGCATGCGCATCAGAGATGGCTGTGAAGAAGGTATGTGTCATTGATGAAATCTACGTTACTCATTTAAGATCACCCTATTAACATGAAAAAGTCACTCTCAGCCAATCTCAGTTTCTGACTGTCAAAGTGGGTCTTTTCCCGCCTAAATTTTGACTTTTCTTTCAAAATTTAGGAAGAAATGAAGTATTTACTGTTGCATCTATGTACGTTTATACATTTAAAACAAAATAATTTTGAAACTGTTGGTGAAGGGACTTACTTTGACAGTCAAAAACTGAAAAGAACTGTCATCATAGTGACTCTCATTTTAACTGGGAATTCTAATATTGCTATGCCTGTCAGCTAAATATTGTAAAGAAATAATTTTTTGCCACTATTTGAGGTTTTTATTCCGTTCTTATAATTTCAGGCATTGGGGGTAGTAGTTCATAAGCCACTCGAGGAAAAAAAAAGCTCTTCTGACTGAAATCAAAGTGTCTGTGAGTGTTGTACCTTATACGTAATAACTTGTCTTCTGTAATTTTTATTTTTGCTAAAATGAATTCTCAAATTTGATCTTCAATATTAGTTAATGCGGAATTTTGCAGATTTAAGTTTTTTGTATTTACTTTGTTTCAGCTGCAGTCCAATGAATCAAGTGAACAAATCTTGAAGGACCAGGCTAAAGACCTTACTTGTATAAAGGAGGCTGTAGAGGATAATTATAAGAAGGTTTTAAATAAAGCGGTGAGTGTTATTGTGTCATTAATGTAACACATTCTGTGTGCGGTTTGTGTAGATGACAAACATCAATTGTGTTTACATTGCAATGATACAGTGCATTTTTTATTTTATTTTTGTCTCATGTGTCTCATGAACGTTATTGTTTTATTTCAGACCAAGTTGAAGGAGTTCAAGACCTCCATGGAGGCCCTAATTAAGGGTCTGGAGGGAAAAGTTTCAAAAATGCAGGAGAAAATGACTGATGATGATAATGAAAACGTTAGTGTCATCATTTATTTGGATTCCAGCTTTTAGGTTCTATTATAGACAGGAATCTTTGAATCTTTTATATCAGTTGTTTTGAAAATATTTCTCTTGAATGTTACTGTTTTATTTCAGAATAAGATTGACAACCTCATCGAAATTATTCAAGAGCTGAGGAAAGATTTGAATGGAAACCCATTTAACGAATCATTGGTGAGTTTCAACTCAACATTTTGGTAGAATTTTTGAAAATTTTGTCTGATGGATGTTAATGTTTCTTTTCAGTCTGACATTAAGGTTGTCATGGAAAATCTGGTTGCCCTTAACAAAGGCTTCCAGAAGTTGGGGAATGACCTTTCTCAGATTGTAAGTGTCATCAACATTTTAAAATCTTGCCCACGGAGGAAGGCAAAGTCAGCATGACATCAAAGTTACGTCAAAATGACCTGTAAGGTCATGTGATGTTAAAATGGTCCCCCATATTGACCTTATAGGTCATTTGTATGTCATCTGACTTTGCCTTCCTCCTTGGGTGGCCTTTTGAAAATTTCATTTGATGAGTATTACTGTTTTCTGTCACACCCAGGATACTGACCTGAAGATTCAGTCTGAGCGACTCAAGAAAGACCTCATTGAAGGCCTGAGGAAAAGGAATACAGAGTCAGAGATAGACTGCAACAGTATTACGGAGAGGGTGGAGTCTTTGGAAAGCCATCTGCTGGCAAAAGTTGAGGAAGTGGGCAAGAAGGTTAGTTGTAAGATAGTTTGTGCTCATTCATTGAGCTGATAAAGAGCAACTCTTGAAAATGATTTATTATTTCTAGATTGAAGATAACATCATGGCCAAGCTTTCAGAGAGAGAATTGGACCGTGATTCTGAAAAATCGGTACTGTAGAATTTCTTATTACTCCTATTTTTTGGTGCTTTAATGAGTAATTAATTGCCTAATATTCTTTTGGTTATTGCAGTATGCACTAGAATTTGAAGATCATGAAGAAGAGGGTCCTCAAAATTTGGAAGCGCTTGAAATGAGTAGCTTTTTGATAATGGTACACAATGACAACAAGCAGGCCCGCCCTTCCGCCAAACGAAGTTGCCAGCTTCGCTTCGCTGCGCCGGCAACTCCGTTCGGCAGGGGCCGGGCCTGCTTGGCCTGCCGGCGGCGATGGTCGGGCCTGCGGCCCGACCATTTCTGTCACGCGA